AGATGTGTATAAGAGACAAATCTATATGTGCATACGGTTGCCAGGGATCCGTTTCGACTAGAATGTCTTCGGGTTGACTGAGAAATGAGGGAATTTCTTCGTCTAGTTTAAGAAAAGGTTGAAATATTTAGCTAAACGTTGTATGGTAGAAAAAAAAAAACCTTTTACACTGATGATAATGATGGTGGTGGTGGTGGTAATGATGATGATGATGATAGTGATGATGAAGATGGCGATGGTGAAGATAAAATCCTAGATAGAATCATAGAATGCCTATTGAAGCGCTCAGTGTACAAAAAAGAATACACCATATATGGGAAAAGTGAATTATCACCTGGTAAACTGGCCAGTTGACTTATGTTTTTGGTGTGCAGAAAGGAAAGAGGGTTATGTCTGTATGAGAATGCTTTTATACTAGTATGCCATGGAAATCTTAACAAACAAAAACTCGCCTATTATTGCCACATGAAATGTGTGAACAGCGTAATTCCCTGCAGCATCTGTAGCAGTACAATCTACAGAATAGTTTCCAAATCTGAAGTTATGTCCTGAGATGTAGGTGCAATTGATGGTAGGATACTCTTGCGAGTTGTCTTGTGCAATATCTGCCAGCGGCCACGTGACGGGGGCTGAAGGTAGACCTGGCTGCGTGTTGACGACTACGTTACTTGGTCCATTATGGAATATAGGAGCTTCAGAATCTGCAACATCAAACAAGGTAAATTGTAGGGCTTACGGTATTTAATTTACAGAATTCCCCATGTAATAAAACAGTTTGATATAATCCATTATTCCACTTTAATTGAGCATTTGTCAGAGACAGATTCAAGTGGCCTCTCCTTCCTAACTTAGAAAATGTTAGTTTTAAACACTTTTGGTCAAATTTAAGTTTGAGAGTACTATTTCTGGTCATCTAAAGTTGATATAGACATATATCGTGCCTCAGCCCTAGAATCAGTGGGACTGATGTAGTCGGGACGGAACGCTCTAACTATAAAAATTAACTTACAGTCGTCATTACTGTACTTTTAAATTCTTACCCAAAACCGTTACGGAAAAGGTACACTGTTTATTATTTCCGCTTAAATCCAAGGCCGTGTATACAACATATTCTGATCCCAGTCTAAACACGTCGTTGGGGTGATGCGTCTGGTGAATGTTGGGATTTAAACCCGAGTTATCCGTTGCTGTAGGCTCGGTCCAAGTTACGGTGGTCGTAGGTAGAAGTGCATCCGTCGGTAATGATTGGTCTGCAGGGCAGTTATTAAACACAGGAGATTCATTATCTAAAACAATAAATACAATACTATTATATTATTTATTTTATTCTTCATAGGCCTAATTTAATTTTATATGTTTAATCATACAATGTTATATTATATAACACAGTATAATTATAGGCCTATGTACATCTTATGTTCACCAGGCCTGTATATAAATAAAACC